GGTTGGAGGACATCGCTAGTAGGTTGGTGGCCATCACTATTAGGTTGGAGGCCATCGCTAGTAGGTTGGAGGCCATCGCTATTAGGTTGGAGGCCATCGCTATCAGGTCGGAGACCATCGCTAGTAGGTTGGAGGATGAGGCTACACAAGATGTCACTATCATGAATGGAGAAGCTGTACGGCCATCGCTATTAGGTTGGAGGCCATCGCTATTAGGTTGGAGGCCATCGCTAGTAGGTTGGAGGCCATCGCTAGTAGGTTGGAGGCCATCGCTCTTAGGTTGGAGGCCATCGCTCTTAGGTTGGAGGACATCGCTCCTTGGTTGGAGGACCTTGCCCTTGGGTTGGAGGACATCGCTCTTAGGTTACAGGCCATCGCTAATAGGTTGGAGGCCATCGCTGTTGGAACTGAGCGTCCTAGCTGTGTCCATAAGCCACTTAGTGCTGCGGTTCAGCTCTGCAGGATTCAGCTGGTTCAGCTCCCTTTTCGACCCCTGGACACGTCTTCCACCTCACGACTCTTGGAAGCAGCAGGCAACGGCGACCTTCCCAGCTTGCAGGCCTTGTTTCTTGGCATTTGCTTTTCAATGTTTCCAATATGTTTTCGCATTTTGTTCTTTTTTGTTTTCAACTAGCTCAATAAAGGCACACCAAAAAGCCGAATCTAGTCGAGCCGAAGCGTCCGAAGCAAGGTTGATGGAACCTCAAGACCCCGACCAGACGAATTGGATGGGGAAAACGGCCTTGTCTCAGGCAGCAGACAATCACCAAGTGGAAATCATGCGCATTTTGCTGCAAGCGATGGCTCATGTCAATCAAACGGATGAGGAGGGTGACCTGTCGGATCACTTCTCCAAAGACCAAACGGACCAAACGGACAATGTGCAAACACACGGCACTGGTGCATCACCCAAAGAATGTGGCTGATGTTGAAGTGGCTGGTGGTTTTCATTTTGTCTCACAGAAATGCGATTTGCAAAACCACATGTTATATAGCCAACAGGAAGGGACTGCAATCTGGGTCATGACACAGAACAGAAGACCAGATTGAACGGATAATTAATCGGGGTCTCTCTCCAATTATTCTCCATTCTGCCTTAGGTCGATCTCCACTCTGGATCGCTTCCCAACATTCCCAGCTGGATGCTGTGGTTTGTCTTTTGGAAGCTGCGGCAGACGTCGACCAAACGGACCACGCTGGCCAAACACCTTTGTGCCTTTGCTGAACTTTGCTAAACCTGGACGAATGCGATTCCTGGTGGTGCCTCACCTGATGTGCCTTTCCTTGGTCTTGAGCTGCATGTCAATTGATAATGATAGTTTCTTCACAGACCACACAAGGTACAGGGCAACATCTCATCAACACTCCTCGACAGTATTGAAGCTGCTGGAAGCCAAAGCTAGTGCCAACAAGTGCTGCCATGAAACCTCACCGCTTTGGAGCCTTAACAAAAGTCAGCAGCATTGGACAGTTGCCCTCTTTGTTTGTGGTTGTGAGTCTTCTTGCTTGTCCTCGTTGCGCCAGGATTGCCTGCCAGTCTGGAAATTCGAAAATCGTGCAGTTGCTGCTGAGTGTGGGCGCGGACAAGAACAAACTGGATGCTCAAGGCCGATCTCCTCTCTGGAGTGCTTGTGGTGCCCGTTTAGAGACGGACAACGTCAACACCTCCTTCGGTGACCATTTGGAAGCTGTGCGACTGTTACTCGAGGCCAGCGCTCACTGTGATACACCGGACGAGACACTTGGTGCTTTTGGCGCTTTTGGTGCTTGGCCGTCTGAGGCCGTCTTGGCCCAAAAAGACGTAATTACGCCTCGTCTATACTCTTCCTCCTAACGATGTGAAACAAAAGCGTCCAAAACTAGACGAGGTCGTTTCCAAGGAAGCACAGTTGCTCTAAGGAAGGGGCGATCGCCCCTGTTGCTTGCCTGTGAACGAGGACGTCTCAAAGCCGTTGGGCTCCTACTCACCGCAAGAGCAACTATCAGTCAACGTGATCACGATGGACAGTCTCCCTTGTTGGTGGCATTGCCCGAATTACCGAAACAACATGTTGAGTTTCCAATTCTGGTGTGTCTCTGGCTTAAGAAAGATTGCAGTTGTTAAAGGGTGCTCTTTGACTCACTGAGGTTGCATGCCAAGCAGGACACTTTGACGTGGCTCACTTTTTGCTCTCCGAATCTGCAGATCATAGCCAGATGTCGAAACGAGGAGAGACTGCGTTGATCCTTGCTGTGAAGCACGGACACCTCGACTTGGTGCGTGTTCTGTTGGAAGCGAGAGCGGATTTTGATAGACCAGACATCAATGGCAAGTCGCCCTTGTCCCTTGCGCAAAGCTGGCAAGTTGTTCTGTGTGGTGAGTTGCGCCTTTGTTGACCCAGAGTCCATAGACTGTAGCCGGATGCAGTTAGGTTTACCGCTTGCCAATATGGACATGCTGCGGTGTCCTCCGTCCTGTTGAGTGCTGGCGCAGAGAAAGACGCAGCCGACGGTGAAACTCCCACATGGATCGCGTCCCGATCCGGCGCCTCAACGCCATAAACGAGAAAGGAAGAACGATAAGAAAAGATAAGACATAAGAATAAGGAATCTAATAGCGATGGCCTCCAAACTACAAGCTGTGGCCTCCAACTAAGAAAAGATACATATTTTCTGTTTCCGAATTGAACCTGGCCTTTTCCTCAAGGCCATGCAGATGTGTTGCGCATTTTGTTGGCAGCTGCTGCAGATGTTAATCAAGCGGCCCAGGGTGTTTCTCCGCTGTGGATGGCAAGCCGTGCAGGTCATGTGGAATCAGTGGAGGTTTTGCTTCAGCTGGCTGACAAAGAGCGAGCAGACTGTGATGGCATTTCCTATGAATTGAACTGTCGAACCTTATTTCTTTTGACATGTTTGTCTGGAGTGACATGTTTGACATGTGTGTCTTCTGTCTTATCGCAAAACCCCGTTTTGAGGCAAGACGCCACTGTGGATCGCTTGCTGCGCTGGGCATGCTGAGATCGTCCGAGTTCTCCTCGACGCCTCGTGCCGTTTAGAAGCAGACCGAAGCGGGCGGACGCCCTTGGCTGTGGCCTCCGAGTTTGGTCACGTGGACATCGTGCGCCTGTTGACGCGTCGCCGAAGGGAACAGGATTGGAAGGAAGAAGTGAGTGAAGCAAGTCCGTTGATGGCAGCTGCCCGTGAAGGACACCACGCGGTGGTCGTGGCTTTGTTGGAAGCTGGGGAGGATGTGAATCAAGTTGACCGAAAACGGAGATCTCCTTTGTGGATGGCCTGTCAATCTGGTCGCATGACCCAGTAGAGCCATTGTTGATTTTTGAAAAAAAACAACCACCACAATGAAACATCTTTTCCCACGACATAGAGGATGATTGAAACTTGCTTGTCAACTACAAAAGACATCTAGAATTTTCCACACCAATGCAACGGCAGTGCAGGTCACTTGCAAGTGGTCCGTTGCCTCTTGAAGGCATTTGCTGGCTTGGACCAAGCCACCTATGAGGAGGAGACGCCTCTCTTCACCGCAGCCCTTCAGGGTCACAGCGACGTGCTGAACACACTACTCGAGGCAAAAGCGCAGAAGGACAAGACTAACAAGGACGGCAAGTCACCACTCTGGATTCTCGGCAGTTCTTGGAATCTGAGATCTCAGCAGTTTCGCAAGGGGAATCAACATGAGTTCGTTTCGACAAGAACTGAACACCAAGATTTTGTTGTCCACTTGTTCTAAGTTGATGTGAATTCTTGCATTGCGTTTAGGATCTCTTGCCGCCTTGGTCACATGAACGTCCTTGATGCTTTGCTGGAGCACACTGCGTGCGATGCTGCGAAGGAACTCGACCAACCGGAGAACCAGGGCCGTGCGCCGCTTTGGATTGCTGCACGCGTGGGACACCATCGGGCAGTGCAGAGCTTGCTGAATGCCAAGGCGGAGAAGGACCGTTTTTGAAAACTTTACATCTTGACAGGAACAAGAAGCTACTAGGAACAAAGGGCATCGCCACTAGGAACAAGAAGCTATTAGGGGCTCCTGGCATCGCTACTAGGAGCAAGGACGCTATTAGGGGCTCCTGGCATCGCTACTAGGAACAAGAAGCTACTAGGGGCT